AATGTATGTACAGTATAATAGACACTGCAGTCAGAATGTATGTACAGTACAATAGACACTGCAGTCAGAATGTATGTACAGTATAATAGACACTGCAGTCAGAATGTATGTACAGTACAATAGACACTGCAGTCAGAATGTATGTACAGTACAATAGACACTGTAGTCAGAATGTATGTACAGTACAATAGACACTGTAGTCAGAATGTATGTACAGTACAATAGACACTGTAGTCAGAATGTATGTACAGTATAATAGACACTGTAGTCAGAATGTATGTACAGTACAATAGACACTGTAGTCAGAATGTATGTACAGTACAATAGACACTGCAGTCAGAATGTATGTACAGTACAATAGACACTGTAGTCAGAATGTATGTACAGTATAATAGACACTGTAGTCAGAATGTATGTACAGTACAATAGACACTGTAGTCAGAATGTATGTACAGTACAATAGACACTGCAGTCAGAATGTATGTACAGTACAATAGACACTGCAGTCAGAATGTATGTACAGTACAATAGACACTGCAGTCAGAATGTATGTACAGTACAATAGACACTGTAGTCAGAATGTATGTACAGTACAATAGACACTGTAGTCAGAATGTATGTACAGTATAATAGACACTGCAGTCAGAATGTGTGTACAGTACAATAGACACTGTAGTCAGAATGTATGTACAGTATAATAGACACTGCAGTCAGAATGTATGTACAGTACAATAGACACTGCAGTCAGAATGTATGTACAGTATAATAGACACTGCAGTCAGAATGTATGTACAGTACAATAGACACTGTAGTCAGAATGTATGTACAGTATAATAGACACTGCAGTCAGAATGTGTGTACAGTACAATAGACACTGTAGTCAGAATGTATGTACAGTATAATAGACACTGCAGTCAGAATGTATGTACAGTATAATAGACACTGTAGTCAGAATGTATGTACAGTACAATAGACACTGCAGTCAGAATGTATGTACAGTACAATAGACACTGTAGTCAGAATGTATGTACAGTACAATAGACACTGTAGTCAGAATGTATGTACAGTACAATAGACACTGCAGTCAGAATGTATGTACAGTACAATAGACACTGCTGTCAGAATGTATGTACAGTACAATAGACACTGTAGTCAGAATGTGTGTACAGTACAATAGACACTGTAGTCAGAATGTATGTACAGTACAATAGACACTGTAGTCAGAATGTATGTACAGTACAATAGACACTGTAGTCAGAATGTATGTACAGTATAATAGACACTGTAGTCAGAATGTATGTACAGTACAATAGACACTGCAGTCAGAATGTATGTATAGTATAATAGACACTGTAGTCAGAATGTATGTACAGTACAATAGACAATGTAGTCAGAATGTATGTACAGTACAATAGACACTGCAGTCAGAATGTATATACAGTACAATAGACACTGTAGTCAGAATGTATGTACAGTACAATAGACACTGCAGTGAGAATGTATGTACAGTATAATAGACACTGCAGTCAGAATGTGTGTACAGTACAATAGACACTGTAGTCAGAATGTATGTACAGTACAATAGACACTGTAGTCAGAATGTATGTACAGTACAATAGACACTGCAGTCAGAATGTATGTACAGTACAATAGACACTGCAGTCAGAATGTATGTACAGTACAATAGACACTGTAGTCAGAATGTGTGTACAGTACAATAGACACTGTAGTCAGAATGTATGTACAGTACAATAGACACTGTAGTCAGAATGTATGTACAGTACAATAGACACTGCAGTCAGAATGTATGTACAGTACAATAGACACTGCAGTCAGAATGTGTGTACAGTATAATAGACACTGCAGTCAGAATGTGTGTACAGTATAATAGACACTGTAGTCAGAATGTATGTACAGTACAATAGACACTGTAGTCAGAATGTGTGTACAGTACAATAGACACTGTAGTCAGAATGTATGTACAGTACAATAGACACTGTAGTCAGAATGTATGTACAGTACAATAGACACTGCAGTCAGAATGTATGTACAGTACAATAGACACTGCAGTCAGAATGTATGTACAGTACAATAGACACTGCAGTCAGAATGTTTGTACAGTACAATAGACACTGCAGTCAGAATGTATGTACAGTACAATAGACACTGCAGTCAGAATGTATGTACAGTACAATAGACACTGCAGTCAGAATGTGTGTACAGTACAATAGACACTGCAGTCAGAATGTGTGTACAGTATAATAGACACTGTAGTCAGAATGTATGTACAGTACAATAGACACTGTAGTCAGAATGTATGTACAGTACAATAGACACTGCAGTCAGAATGTATGTACAATACAATAGACACTGCAGTCAGAATGTATGTACAGTACAATAGACACTGTAGTCAGAATGTATGTACAGTACAATAGACACTGTAGTCAGAATGTATGTACAGTATAATATGCATGTACATGCACTTACAATGAACACAGGGAAGTAACCGTGAATACAAGGCAGTCACAGAGCACTTGAATGTACAGTCGTCCCTCTCTAATTCCGCACTTGTTTATCCGGAACCCTTGCCAACCGGCGCACTTTCTGACGAAACCGATTTTTTTCGTTCAATTCCTACATCTTTATCCGGCACTTGAATTCCGCCTCCGGCAGTGACTTTTTGAAACGAATGGCTCAAACTGCACGTAGTTTGATTTCATAATCCGGCAGTCGTGTATCGCGTACTGGACAGGTGCACTCCTTGCCAGGCCAGGCTAGGCCAGTCTGGTCAGTGCCGCGCGCGCGCGCGGGGCCACTTCAGAGTTCAGTTCAGTTGACAACTGTCCTCGACCTCGCGCGGGAGAGTTCAGTTGGGTTGGTTGTTAGGACTTTTCCGAACCCTAACTCACTTAATACAAAGAGAAAGACCAAGGAACTACAAGTTACGCTATACTGTCCACTAACACCACCAGTTTCTAAACAATCAGCTCATGCGATAACATTGCACGACACTGACTGACGGTACTGACGTTCTACAACTAACCACAACGTTCGACCTGCATGATGTCGACTGCTTGCGTGGCCTTCTCAAGAGGGTCAATGTTGTCCAGGAGACAACGGCTAAGCAGTCAACAATACTTTCTTATTTTAGCAAGGAGTAGTGTCCTGCCAATTTTCAGGTGTGTGTGCGTATGTGTGCAAGAGTACATGTGAACATGTTCTCTGTTTTACTTTATCACTGTGTATATTCCTGGAGAACAGTTGAGAATATAAAGCCGTGCACCAAATACTTGGGTCGACACGGAAAAACCCTGCGTTTTGACGTATGATACATGCATGCAATTCGGTAGGGCCGGGTCAGAGGGCAGGATTTCATAATCCAGCACCCTCGTTAATCCAGCAGAAAACGCCGTAGCAAAAGGTGCCGGATTAGAGAGGGACGACTGTAAATTGTAAATGCGTAGCGTACTAACTGTTATGGCTACCGCCAGTGAAGAAGGTGTTTGGCGGCAATGAGCGTTGAAGGACAATACCAGCTGGTAGATATTCAAATTGCGTTTCCATGGTGACGTGTAACAGAGCCAGTATTGCCCATATACTCACTCACATGTAGGCTGACAGGCAGCTCAGCAGGTGTAACGATTCATTCTACTGGGAGAAGCCTTGTCGTAGAGCGCTGGGTTAAATTGCTATCACCCCGTGTCTTTTCTATCATTTTCTGTTTTTTACTATCTTTTTGGCTTCTTCTTCATAAGCTGTCGACGGAGACTCCCTGGAATTCGGCTAAGGCTTGGGTTAATTCAAATACACACAGCCAGTGTGCAGCGGTGATGCAAAGGAGAATGTCTTGAAAGCGGAGGGGGGGGGGTGTATGTGGTGGCACTATTGGCTGTTGCACCGCTCCAGCTGTCTAGATGCAATGTCTGAAAGGAGAAGCTCCCGAAGGCATGATGGTGGGAGATGTGGCGGTATGCTCCGGTAATTCCAGCCCACTTTGTTCTGATCCGGAAATGTTCGTAAATCCGGTAGCTTGCGCACCAAATAGTGCGCGAAACCGTGTGGAAAATGTCATTACAGGCAATGTTTGAATACCACCTACAATCCCCTCCTACGTGGTGTTGCTATCAGGTGGTTGTTCTCCTGACCACATCCACGTGATGTGTAATGTGATGTGCAATGTGATGTGTAATGCAAGCTAGCTACTGGCATGTGTGACATATAAATACTCCGGTATTGGAACTTTCTTATAGGCCATTCACACGACGGGCAAACTTACTTTTATAGTACCGTTTCCTAGGATATTTACTCGGATACGATAAACTTGGACACACGCGAGCAACAGATTTTTTATCTTGGCCGAGGCCCTTTTGCTCGCGATTATCTTTGCACGCCAGGAAAAGTGTCGGTTGTTGAAAGTGCGTACTGCAAATGCAGTGCTTGAACAAAGGAAAATTCAAAATTTAACATTTCCCGGCATTTTCGGGGAGTCACTATGGATACATTGACGGTTGCAAAGTTTGCCAAGCACTGTGTGAACTGGATCACGGTTTGCCCGTGTTATCTTGGTCACACGCGTGCAAATGTTTGCACGTCGTATGAATGGCCTATAAGCAAGTGATCATTTGACCATGTGTCAGTGTGACAGGTTTAGTGACAACGCCGCTGGCGCAGAATTGCGAACAAAAGGACGGGCTGAATCCGCATGTCACGGTGTGTGCGTGTGTGCGTGCGTGCGTGCGCGTGTGTGTGTGTGTGTGTGTGTGTGTGATGGCTTTACTGTACATGGAAGAACAAACCAATCATGCAAGTAAACTTAGGCTGTGATGCACTGATTTTTTGATTGTCCGTCACAGCCTAAGTTAACTTGCTTGATTCATTTTTCTTCCATGTATGGTAAAGCCGTTACACGTGTCGATTCATCTCTTGTTCGTAATTCTGAAACAGTTATCACCTCATCGCTTATTTACACGCTGCTGTGTGTCACTGTTTTCCTTATATAGCTTCTTCATCGTCAGACGGTATGCCATCGGTGGTCAGTTCCTCGCCGAGCGGAACTGTTGTTACCCAAAAGCCAGCGTGGTTGGTCTGTACATTGGCATTGGTGGTGCAGTGCTATTGGCAGCACTTGTTCTCATAACGGTCTGCCTGGTGGTGGTGGTGGTGGTGGTGGTGGTGGTACGTCATAAGAAGGATGGTGTTCCTGCCTGATGGTTGACTTGTGAACAAGATCGACATTGTTTGAATTCGTTGTGGACTTTGTCTTTGCTATTTTCGTTCTGTCTATTCTCTCACGTTTCTTCTCTCTCTCATATCTTCTGTAGAACTTCTTTCCAGTCTGTCTCTCTGCTCTTCATCTCAAGAACTTTTCTCTTTTCCATTTCTTCGTTCTTGTACTTCTCTAAACTTCTCTACTCTTTTTTTTAGTCTTTTTTCTTTTTTCTTATTTATTTGTAGAAAGGCAATGGACATATGGATACGAGTTAAGAGTAACTCTCCATCACTGTAACCAGCTGGGTACTATATACACTTTATTTATTTATTATTTTATCGTCTCCACTTCATGGCACATAGTAATACATAGCCACTACAAGAAAGGGAGGGTGAGTCCAACCACTTGTTTAGTTTCTTTTTGAGAGTTTTCAGTTTTCAGTTTTTGTTGTTTGTGAATACAGTCAATACACTTTATACAGTCTTCAAGCGAGCAGTAGTTTTCGATATGTGGTCGTGACTTGGGTTGTCCGTATTGCCCTGAACAGATGGAGTTAGTCACCAGCATCATAGATCAGGTGAGTAAGCACCGGGATGGATGGTACGCTTTCCAACGGCCAAAGAGAGTTGGAAAGCTTGTGTCTTTGTGGGTAACTTGAACATTTGGGGCCCATGTAAAATCGCACTGATTTTGGGATTTCCCTGCAACTTTTTGCTTCAGCAAAAATGTTGTGCTTGACCGCATTCCTGTCACTTCGCAGTGGCTTTTCGTTGGTGCAGTTTGTATCCCACCCTCCCACCCCTGACTTCTGGGTGTGTGTTTATCAATATAATCTTATTGGCTTTCTTATTGGCCATGTGGCTGTGGCTGTTACGACTGCTTTTCTTTTGTAGTTAAAAAAACGTAGGGGTGGTGTGTGCGTCGCGGGCCTTTGTATGGTTACGTACAGCTTCAGATTGTATGGCTAGTGCCAGGGGAGTTGCATGGGAAGAATACTACTGTATTGTGATTGAACTGAAGCTGGATGATGACCGTGTGGTGAGTGTGTGGGGGTTTTCAAGATACCGTCCTGCTGCAGGGATGTAGGTCCTTTAGCTTGGACGGGTGTTGTTACATTCATTGTAACATCTTGTCGTTTTCTGTGGGCTTTGCTGTGCGACTAGCAGCAGTGTATCTTGTGCTTATTTTTCTTATCTCTATGCATACAATTATTTAAAAAATTAAAAAAAATCAGGAAGAGGATAATATAATAATAATATTCGCGGGATCCGCGTCGGCATTGCTTGAATGTTCAGAAACACACAAACTAGCCTTCGCATCCGCAGGCCACCACTATGCCTGTTCACCTTAGTGGCGAATGCAGACCTCACAAGCGAGTCAGGGGAGAGGAGGTTAGTCTCTCAACCAATCGGGCGTGTAACGGCCCATAACCCTGTAAACTGCATCCTTGTTATTCTCACTCCGAGCTGTGAGTACCCAGTTGACCGCGCTGTTCAGCACGCGTAATAGAGAGGTTAAGTTTCACGTAAAAGTCTTACGTCCGTGAACTTTTACGTCAAAAAGTGAAAAAACTCACGTAAAATTTGACGTGTTTTACGTGAGTTGACTGTCCCGCACGTAAGTTCATGACGTGAGTTTTTGGAAGTTTCGCTTGGTTATTCCGACCGAATTTGTGTGAGTTTCCGGAATTTTATCGAGTTTGTTGAAAGATTTGATATTTGCGTGAACTAAACCCGAATCCTGCCAGGCAAAATTTCACGTCACGTCGCACGTGTAACTTAACCTCTAAAAATTACACGTAACGTGAGATTTGCACCGCGTTTTTTTTTTTTTTTAACAGGAGAAGTAAGCCTCTTGTACGGGCAAAGCAAAATAAAAAGAAGAAGAGAAGAAAAACTAAACTAAAAGGAAGAAAACTAAACTAAAAAGGAGCACCCATTTTGTTAAGCCAGGGGCTGGCTCACGCCTGGCATGAAAATGATAGATTGAGAACTAAAGAAATTAAACATGATAACAACTGTCTAGCTGACCACCAGCTGTGCCTCTGCTCGGACCAGGTCGACAGGGGCATGGTCAAAGTGACGGCGGCGAATTGAGCGTGATCCACGGACACAGCGAATAGCAGACCTGGCTAGCGAAAAGCTTAGCATGCATCTGAGCCAACACACCATCTGGCTGTACGGCGCATGCCTCTTCACGGCTAAAGCACTTGCCAGCCTCTTCACCGTGATGGCAGCTTCGTGGCCCATCCCCCCACAGGAAGAGAAGACCAGAGGGGTGAAGGAACCATGCTCGACGTGGAGAATTCTCTCCCCATACGCACGCTTCTTCTCCCCTTCAAAGCTTCGGTACAGAGAGGAGAGGGATCTGGAGCGGTAGCTTGACGCATGGGGATAGAACACCCTTGTATCAAAGAATGCGTTTCTGCTATCCGTCCAGAACCCCCTCACTCTCAGGTCAGCGCGGGCATCCGGATCGGTGTTGGCGGTGCGTCGCTGGAGGACCTCACCGGTGAGAGGTTGGAGCTTCGGCTCCACCTCAACGTCACAATGCACCTCCTTCATGCATGAGGCGATAAAGTCGGTAGGATCATTGTGACGCATATGGATGAAGCCGGAGAGTTTCCAAATCTGCGCATGATCCACCGAGTAGCGTGCTCCACATGGGCAAGAAGCCAGCAGGTTGTCCAGTGGCCAACAATATCGCATGCGCACGTGGTCATGGAAGTCGGACTTGACGTCGAAGCAGAATCCGTGCTCAGCCACCGGTATTGTTGTGAGCGTGCTGGAGGCTCCCTTCTCTCTTGCCAACGCCATGGCCCGTTGTTGCGGCTCGGGCAGCCGAGACTGGATTTCGTTAGCCTTGGTGTCGAGGGTGGCGTGGTGGCGCTGTTGCACGGCAGTCTTTGCTTCATGGTCTTGTCTGATGCTCCCTATCAGGTCCGAGCCGCCTGTGGCGATCTGGGTTGCAAGATTAGCGGTGCACTCAACCGATGCCGTGTGTTTGCGGGAGGAATCGATGACGGGGTTGTCCAACGACAGACCTCCATATCGAGCTGGAAGCGCAACCATATCCATCTCGACGTCACTGGCCTCATGCTTGGTCAGGGCAGGTAACAAATGGCTGCGAATAGCACTGAGCAAGGGCTCCATATGAGTGCCCATTGTAGGCATGGTACGCTGAAGGAAGGTCCAACGATGTCGGAGGCCAAAAACATAGCCAGCAAATGCAGCATGGGGGTGTGTTGCGGCAATGTCGGCGAGGCGGTCCACTTGTGCTGTCCATGCATCAACTAATAGTTACTTTCGAGTCGAGGTACCTCTCGATGAACGCATTTGAGCCTATGGCTGCACCCAGATGACGCTGTCCAGCTTTGTGGGCCAGGTGTCACCATCACCGGCTATCTTGATGCCTGTACCGGCAAAGATTCGCTCTGCTTCGTCGCGACGTTCGGGCTTCACTACCAAGAATGTTTTGCTGGGCTTCGGAAAGTAGCCATACGCAGGGCCTGCAGACATGAGCTTGTCCCAGAAGTGGCGGAGTGAAATCAGCCGGCCTCCGGCGGCGGCATCGTCAGCAAACCACACCTGGATGGCCTTGATGACGTCGCCGACGGGTACGTCGCTGCAGGCCGCGATCAACGGTACCACACTCAGTGCATACATGGCCATCGACAGAGGACACCCCTGAGTGGTCCCCTCCTCTGATGAGAGTTCCATGCCACCAGTGACGAACAGACGAGCAGGCGATCTGTATACGTTGTTGAGGACTGTGGCTAAAGGGGGGCAGATGAATCTGATGTTGTGCAGGGCCACGTTCCGATTCAGGCGGTTGAAGGCATTGTCGGCGTCGACTAGCAGAACAGCATCAGTCTCCATAGACTCAAAAACTCGCCGCAAGGCATGGATAGCCGCTTCGCAGCCTGCTGGATGGCCTGCACAGACCTCGGTTACACCTGCGGCTGCGGTGATGTCATGCTTCAGGTTGGCCATTAGAGACTTGCCGATGATACGTCTGAGTACTTCTCCTATCCCTACAGCCCAGGCCTTACCCCCGGGTCTTTGTCCAACGGGATCAAGCGGTTGTTGAGCAGAGGAGCAAGTCCAATGGGGTTGACATCCATCGTAGCTAGGTGTCGGGATACTGCAGCAACCTCGTCGCATAGCTCATGTGATGCAGACTTTTAAAAGGACACTAGCATTCGTCTCCAGACATAGGAATCACCCATGGAGGGACCTGCCGCACCCTGCATTGCCAGGGCAGTCTTGCGGACGATGTCACCTGTGAGGCTCTCGAACAGGATGGGATTTACAATAGGCGCAACACCTGGATGCAGTACATCTTTGCACCGCGTTTTGAAAAAGGGCAAACAACGTGTAACTTAACCTCTCTAAGGCCAACTCGGTCAATGAGTCCTTGAACCTTTCCCTCCAGATTGGGAACTGCCAACGATAGTATGCCACTGACCAGTGCCTTACTTGTAACGTACCAATGTGCAATGAACATGAGTATTTCGACAACACATCTAACATAAGCCTTGCCGTCAAGAAAGTGAACTCGCGTTCTTCGCACACTGTAGACAAGGACAAAGAGATAAAAATGGATCTAAACCCGAGTAAAATCAGCACACGTTTCCGTAAATGAAAGGGTGAGCATAAGCAAATGAATCGAAGGAAACCGGTTAAAGTAGTCCGTAAAAGGAGGCCTCGGCAGCGGAAAAGCTGAATTTGGAAAAGAGATCCTGTCAGCTTTTCCATTATTTATTGCATTCCGCCCAAAATAGGCACACTTTTCGTAAATGAAAGAGTCAACACAAGCAAATGAATCAAAGGAAACTGGTCAACTCACCTGTCATTGAGTAATATTCCGCGAAAGGAGGTCTCAGCAGCGCCGAAACGAAATAAGCCAGGCCAGGAGACGAAATATCCGAAACAGCTCATGCAAGAAGCAGTTCCAAAGAAGGAATTTCCTCGCGCATGCACATATCCGAACACGGATCCGCGGACTGTACTGCGCATGCTACTGCATGCAACACAATGTCTTTCTTTTTTTTACACGTATCGTAGATCTACGTTAGTAGTAATAGTAAAAAGAAAAAGAAAGAAAAAAAGAATGTTTGGCACCTATATGAATTCAGGGCCTAGGGGATGGCCCACGCCTGGTAAAAAGAAAAAGAAAAAAAGAAATCATAACAAAGAAAACTAACTAATAGCGAAAACAATACAGCCATATAACAGGAGGTTATTATTATTTAAAGAGTCGGCGTGGAGAAAGCAATTTTATTAGTGCAATTACTTCCTCCGTTAACAAAAACTTCGTGATGGATTTCTGAGGGGCTGGTTTGCGCACAAACTGCCGTGAAATGAG